TAGAAATTAATTACTCACAAAGGAAAATTATATCTTTCATTATCCATTTTCCTGTAACTTCTAAATATTCGGTGTTTTGCGATCATATTCTATAGAAGAAACCAAAATGAAAAGTAAAAAGTTTGTAAGTCGAATCATTTTGTCACATTGAAAAACAATAATCTGTTCTATAAGCAAATTACGTAGGATTATTTCAGGTGTCAAATGATGGGATTCTGCCAATTCAAGCAGGAATAAGAAATAACAAGAAAATAACGACTGTAGCTAATGACATTAAGACAAAAGAAAAATGGTTCAAATGTGAGATATGCGATAAACGATTCAGACTTGCAAGCAGTTTGAAGCGCCATATGAGGATACACACCGGTGAAGAAAATTACATATGTCAGATATGCGGTAAGCAATTTATACAAGCAAACCATCTGAAACGCCATATGATGATACATACTGGTGAAAAGAATTACACATGTAAGCTATGCGATAAGCGATTCGGATGTACAAGCACTCTAAAGATCCATATTAGGATACATACCGGTGAAAAAAATTACATATGTAAGATATGCGACAAGCAATTTGGAACATCAGACCATCTGAAACGCCATATGAGGACACATACGGGTGAAAATAATTGCATATGTAAGGTATGCAATAAAACGTTCAAACAGCAATCAAACCTGCAGCGACACAATTTGGTACACGAAAAACTGCGATTCGAATGTAAGCAATGCAATAAGAATTTAGCTCGAAAGGATAGTTTGAAAAGACACATGAAAATACATGAAAGTTAGAGTAAAAAGCTGTATTCGACAGTGAGTCCCTTAGTAAAGCCGATAGTAGAAGATATCATTGACACGGAAATATTAATAATGGGAATTATTGCATCCACAGGTATATAAATTATTGTATTGTATTGGCTTAAATTACATTTGTATATATTTTTCTGTCATTAGTGCTTTGTTCATTATTTCTTGATCGATTGCCGAAAGTGACTGATGAAATTGGATATAAATTTTGAACTATAATTTGACAGAACTTTAATATTGTATTCATTTTTTCATATGAATTTTATTATGTTGTTTAAATTTACTATGCCAATATTCTCTTCGTTATCATTTTTGCCTGATCAATTACCGAAATTAAATAAATGTTTGAATAAATTATTGAATCGAATAAATGTCACTTGTAAAAATACAGTTGTTTCTACTACTAATAGAAATATCTTAATTAACTTTTCATTTCTTCGATCTTCAATTTTTCATCTTGATTTTTCTTTAATAACTTCATTCTGATGAGTTCTCTCATCTATTCAACAGGTTTAATGATATGTTAGAATATAGAAATATTTGTCACTCGTAGCTTATCATAATATAAAGCCGAGCATTAAGTTCTCATAATTCTCATAGTCTAATATTAAAACTTAGTAAAATATGTGGCTATATTCGGAACTTATAAAATGGATCGGAATAGAATTAATGATAGAAAATGAATTAATGAACTGAATTAATTAATTATGGATCGGAATGGAATTAGCAAAAGATCTATTTTACAATTGATGGCCTCTTAATTTAATACACCAGAATTTCTCTTTCCTATATTTTAAATTATTTTTTAGTGAAGATGTAAAACTATGGAATGCACTTATAAATGCATTATCAAATTTCCTCCGTGATGGATTTATCACGATTCACTACAGTCTTCTGAAATGACATGCAAATTCATGTCTTCACTGACGCATCAAATGAAACATACTAACAACTGTGAAAGTAGAAAATCGAAGGAAAGAAACATATTTGATCTTTACCTTTTATCATTGCTCACCTAGATTTTAATCAGATATAATTGATGAATAAAAAGAGAAGATAATAGAAAAGGGATGACTTAACTAAATAGTTTCAAATTTTGAATCCTTCGGGAAATAAAACATATTTAAAGAATTTAAACCTTTTACAGTTTTTTATGGCATTCATTTGATTCAAACATTTATTTAACTGTGATAATTGATTTGATAAAATTGATAACAAAGAGAATATTGGCATAGCAAAATTTAAACTGCATATAAGAATTCGTGTGAAAAAAATGAATGTAATATGAAGTTCTATCAAATCATAAATCAATATTTCCAATTCATCAATCACTTCCACCATTCGATCAGCAAATAATGAAGAAAAGCATAAATGACAGAAAAAACATGTACAAATACAATTTAAGCTAATACGACACAATAATTATTTCCTTTATTAATATTTCTCTGTTATTGATATCTGCTATCGATGTCATTAAGGTGAACTCATTGTTGAATACAACATTTCACTCGACCTTTTATGCATTATAATGTGTTCTTTCAAATTATCCTTTCGAGTGAAATTCTTACTGCATTGTTTACAATCGAATCGCACGTTTTCGTGCGACAATTTATGTCGCTACAGATTTGAAAGGTATTTGAATACTTTATCGCATCCGTTGCATTTCAATTCTTTTCGTCCGCGTGCGTCTTCATATGCTGTTCCAGATGGTAGCGCTTTTTGAAAGCTTTATGGCATATTTCACTAATTGCCATACTAAAGCAAATTGCGATACTAAGAAAAAATCATTTTCCAATTTCATCAATATATTTATTGTAAATAAAGTGTTAAGATGATAAGCTTCACCTAACGTTTCAGCATACCTACAGCATAGAAGGAAATTTTACATTTACGAATGCTACACGTTTCTGAGATTTGAATTGAGAGATTTTAGAGGTAAAATTTCGGATTAGGTTATTTTGAAATTATATATTTACACAATTTGGTTTTTCTCAGAATTTGTGACAAAAGATTGCTGATAAGCTGTTATCCTCCACTTTTTTATTATCACTTATATCATTTTCGTCAGATCTGTTTCCTTCAGTTTGACTTCAGAAATGTAAAAAATGATAAAGTCAGAAAATAAAATCGAAGGCACAAAAATATGAAATAGACTATACTCGAATATCTTACTGCCGAAATTTAAAAAGCCTTATTTCATCGAAAAGCAATATTATATGTATGTTAGAAAAACATGATAAAATAATAGAAGCGAAAATACTTAAAATAATATTTTCATGAACAGACTATTTAGAAATGCTTTATTGCGAAATTCAAAAAGCCATTTCGCTTCATGATATCTAGTTTTATTTCAGTCATTCGAAAATCGATTCATACAAATCTAAAACTGAGTGAAATATTTTATTCACATACCGTTATCTATGCGATATACAACGGCAAAGTAATTTAATAGCAATTAGTCCAAATTTTATATTTTTAAAATCGCAATGCTTCATCGTTTTTTGTTGACGATTACAGATTAGATGATTGTGCACACTCTTCCAATGATTTCATTTCATTCAGAGTTGGAAAGATTTAGTGACAGTTCTGAACAATGCTGTCAGTTGTAATCGCATTTGCATGAAGCCATTATTTCTCAGTGTAACTAACAAAAAATTTTAGGGCGTAGTGGAGTCAAAATTACTGTTCAAAAGACCGTGATTTTGGATTATATTTGGTCATAGATCATGCGGTTTATCGAAATGCATAAAAACGGTTCCCTCTGTTAATTCCACTTCATTTGGTGGGTTGCCTGCTAAAAATATTCTTCGAAAACGCTTTGACGATTTCTACATTACATCACTTCCCGATTATGTTTGTGATGTATTACTTGGTAGTGATTGCTTTGCCGATGTATATCACGCAAATAACGGTATGTGAATAAGATATTGCTCTCAACAAAGAAATTGAATACCCACAAAGTTTCTATTTTAGCTGGAAACAGGAAAATTAAATTTTGTTATTCCTTATCCATTTCCTTATAATTTCTAATTAATTGGTGTATTGCGATCATATCCTATAGTAAAAGCTAAAGTGAAGCGAAAAAAGTTTGTGCGTCAGGTCAGAGAATCATTTTTGTCACATTGAAAAACAATAATCAATCTATGAACAAATTATTTAGGAATATTTCAGGCATCAAATAATGGGAGTCTGCCAATACAAGCAGGAGTAGGAAATAACAAGGAAATTACGATCGCAGCTAATAACACTAAGACAAAAGAAAAATGGTTCAAATGCCAGGTATGCGATAAGCAATTCGGACGTGCAGGCACTCTGAAATACCATATTAGGACACATACCGGTGAAAAAAATTACCTATGTATGATATGCGATAAGCAATTCGGACGTGCAGACACTCTGAGATACCATATGAGGATACACACCGGTGAAAAAAATTACATATGTAAGATATGCGATAAGCAATTCAGACGTTCAGGCACTCTGAAATGCCATATGAGGATACATACCGGTGAAAGAAACTACATATGTAAGGTATGTGATAAGCAATTCAGATATACAAGCCATCTGAAATGCCATGTGAGGACACATACCGGTGACAACAACTATGTATGTAAGGTATGCAACAAAACATTCAATCAGCATTCAAACATGAAGGCACACGAACTGACACATAACAACATACGACCATTCAAATGTGAACAGTGTGGTAGGAATTTCACTCGGAATTATAATTTGAAAAAACACGTGAATTCACACAAATGTTCGAATGAAAAGCTGTGTTCTATCTCGGGCGATCTGAATCGAAACAAATCGGCGCGGGTGGAAGTACGACCATTCAAATGTGAAATGTGCTATAAAGCTTTCAAAGAGCGTCACCTTCTGAAATACCATATAATGACACATATGGACGAAAAAACAGGGAAATGCAACTTATGCGGTAAAGCATTCAATTGCCGTTCAGCTCTTCAGAGACACAAATTGACCCATGAAAACGTGCGATTCGATTGTAAACAATGTGGTAGGAATTTCACTCGAAAGTATAATTTGAATAAACACATGAAAATGCATAATAATACGATTGAAAATCTGTATTTGACAGTGAACTCCTTAATTGTTTCGATAGCAGAAGATATCATTGACACAGAAATATTAATAATGGAAATTCTAGCATTCACAAGTATATAAATTATTGTGTTCTGTTGGCTTAATTATATTTGTACATTGTTTTCGGTCATTTGTGCTTTGTCCATTATTTCCTGACCGAACGGGTGAAGTAATTGCTGAAATTGGATGGAAAGTTTTGAAATGTGATTTAATAGAACTTCATATTGCATTAATTTTTTCACATGAATTTAAATCCGTTGTTTAAATTTGCTATGCCAATATTCTCTTCGTTATCATTTTTGCCTGATCGATTACCGATGTTAAATAAATGTTTAAATAAATTATTGAATCAAATAAATGTCACTTGTGATAGTGCAATTGTTTTTTAATACTAATAGAAATATTTTAATTAACTTTTAATCTTGACTCTTCGATTATCAACTTTTTATCTTGACTTTTAGACTTCAAGAACCTCACCGCATTCTGATGATTCTAAATGAAATAATTGAACGGGATGCAAAATAGGTAAGAAGAATCCGCAATGATTTGCAAAGTTTTATTGCTAATAACAGAAGCAAATTATAATTGCAACGACAGCAATAATAAATTTCGATTTGCTAAAATATTATCAAATTTGAAATCGATGAGTTCTCTCATCCATTCAACAGGTTTAATAATTCGTTAGAACATAATATTTATCACTTGTACCTTATCATAATATGAATCCAAGTATTAAGTTCTCATAATTCTCATAGAAAATGAATTAGTGAACAAAATTTATTAATTATGGATCGGAGCGGAATTAACAAAAGGTCTATTTTACTATTTGTGGCCTCATAATTTGATCCACCAGAATTTCTTATTCCTGTATTTTATTTTTCAGTGAAGAAGATGTAAAACCATGAAATACACTAATAAATGCACTATCAAATTTTCTCCCTGATGGATTTATCACGATTCACTACAGCCTTCTGAAATGACATGCAAATTCGTGTCTTCACTGACGCATCAAATGATGTGTACCAACAGATGTGAATGTACGAAATCGAAGGAAAGAAACATATTTAACCTTTGCCTAATCTCATATTACACCAACTAAGAATAACTAAACTAAGAAGTACAAAGCAAATTAAAATAATTAAAAGGATAATTTGTAGGATAATGCTCAGCCCAAGTTATTACAAAAGCACAACACAAAAAATTATAAAGATATTATCCAATATGGCATAATAACTGCCAGGCCAAGTAAGAGTTAATAACAGTAAAACAGAACTAAGCATTTAAATAACATCAAATAATTTATTCGGCACCAAGTGCAAAACTAGTAAAAGCAAATAAGAAATACCACTTAGGAAGAATATGAATAAGCCTAGCCATGGGATCAGATTCCCACAAAAATCGTAGGATCACTTTGAATTTTAGCTAAAACAATCATAATCAGTTTTTCTTCCTTTTTTTTTTTATTGCGAACTCTGAGATTTGAAATGAGCTTTAACTTGTTGTCGTACATCTTCCAAATGAGATCAAGAATCAAATCATTTAATTAGTTTATCAATATTCACCTCGATTTTATTCAGATATAATTAGGAATAAGAAGAGAAGATAATTGAAAAGGGATGATTCAACTAAATAGTTGGCATCCATTTGATTCGAACATTTATTCAAACATTTATTTCACTGCGATAATTGATTTGACAAAATTGATCACGAAGAGAATATTGGCATAGTAAATTTAAAGTTAATTAAAATTTAAATGAAATATTAAATTTAAACAACACATAAAAATTCATGTGAAAAAATGAATGTAATATGAAGTTCTATCAAATTATAATTTAAAATTTATATCCAATTTCATCAATCACTTCAGCTATTCGATCAGAAAATAATGGACAGAGCATAAATGACAGAAAACAATGTACAAATATAATTTAAGCCAACATAATATAATAATTCAAGGATTTTCATTAGTAATATTTGAATTCAAGGATTTTCATTATTAATATTTCCGTGTCAATGATATCTTCTGCTATCGAATTTATTAAGGAGCTTACTGTCGAATACAGCTTTTCACTCGAACTTTTATGTATTTTCATGTGTTCTTTCAAATAATCCTTTCGAATGAAATTCTTATCACACTGTTTACATTCAAATCGCACGTTGTCGTGCGTCAATTTGTGTCGCTGCAGATTTGAACGGTATTTGCATACTTTGTCGCATCCATTGCATTTCAGTGTCCTTTCGTTCATATGTGTCTTCATATGGCGTTTCAGATGGTGATGCTCTTTAAATGCTATATCGCACCTTTCACATTTGAATAGTCTTACTACCTCGTGCGTCGATTTGCTTCGATTCAGATCGTCCAATGTAGAATACAGCTTTTCACTCGAACTTTCATGCATTTTCACGTGTTTTTTCAAATTATCTATTCGAGTGAAATTCTTACCGCATTGCATACATTCGAATCGGTGCGTTAATTTTTGGTGCGTTAATTTGTGTCGCTGCAGGTTTGATTGCTTATTGAATGTGTTATTGCATACCTTGCATATATAATTTTTTTTACCGGTATGTGTCGTCATATGGCATTTCAGAGTAGATGCATGTCTGAATTGCTTATCGCGTATCTTACATATGAAATTTTTTTCACCGGTATGTATTCTCATATGGCGTATCATATTGCCTGTATATCCGAATTGCTTATCGCACACCACACACTTGGACCATTTCTCTTTTGTCTTACTGCCATTAGTCACGGTCGTTATTTCCTTGCCATTTCTTATACCTGCTTGTATTGGCAGACTGCCATCATTTGACACCTGAAATAATCCTAAATGATTTATTTAGAGATTTATTAATGCTTTTTGATGTAACAAAAATAATTCTGTTATTAAATGAACAAACTTTTTGCGTTTCATTTCGGTTTTTACTATGGGATATGGTAGCAATACACCGAATATTCAGAAGTTACAGGAAAATAGATAAGAAATAAAAAAGTTTATTTACCTTCACAAGAAGCAGCTGTTTTTGTTTTTAGCTATAATAGAAACTTTGTGAGCATTTAATTTCTATACTGAGAGCAATATCTTATTCACATACCGTTATTTGCGCGATATACAACGGCAAAGCAATCACTACCATATAATATGATGCAAACATGATTTGGAAGTGATGGAACGTAGAAATCGTCAATTTTCGAAAACTATTTTTAGCAGACAGCCTACCAAACGAAATGACATTAACCAGAGAGAACCGTTTTTAAGCATTCCAGTAAGCCATATGATTTCTGACCAAATATAATCACAAAACTCCCGTTTTTTCACATGACAATTTTGACTCCACTACGCCTGAAATATCTTGTTAGTTACACTGAATAATAATAGCATCATGCAAATGCGATTACAACTGGCAGCATTGTCCAGAACTGTCACTAAATCTTTCCTACTCGGAATGTAATTGGGAGAGTCTGCATAATAATCTAATGTGCAAATGTTGGGAAAGAAGTGGAGGCTAAACAAACTCTTACTAGATATTATGGTAAAAATGGTTTTCTGTTATTTTATTGAAATCAAATTTTTTGCTCTGAAATCTTTCAATTTAAAATTTAAAAATGCGTAGTATTTGTTGATGTAAAATTTCCATCTGCGATATAACAAATACTGAAATGTTAAGTGAAGATTACAATATCATCTCTTTCTTTTGGATAAATTTTGTTGATAAAATTCGAAATTTAAATATTGTTATACTTTCTTGCTGCAAATAAAAATTGCCGAATATAATTTTGCATTTAATACATCGATAGAAATTTTATAATCAAACATGAAATTTAATGATGTATGAAATTTATATGAAATAAGCTACCATTGTGTGCATTGCACAATGAATAGTATTTGGGAATATGTATCTTTGACCCCTTTTGTTTATGAAATTTTTGAATAAATCAACGTTGGTAGTAAATGCAAAATAAAACATCTTTCGCTTCTCATTCATTTTTACTTGCTAGCAGTAAATTTAGCTAAAACTTAGATATTAGTTCTATTTTGGGATCGCTGCCCGAATCTTACAGAATTATTATTGGATAAAATATAATAATAGAAGCTTAAGAAAAAAATATAAATAAATTATAGTAAACATAATTTAAAAACCAAAAGAACATAATTTGAGCAAAAATAAATAAGCTTTAACAATATGAAATCAAATTCCAACAAGCATTGACATTCTCAATTTGACAACCGTCTAAAAGTAAACAAAATAAAGGAGGAAATAATTACAGTCGATTCATTAAAAATATCGAATATCATAAAATTCTCAGAATTAAAGAAAGCAGCAAAAACCTATAAGAACTAACAGCAACTAACCATAATGATCGAAGTATTGATGATATGTGATAATCATTTATATTGATCGAAGTATTGATGATATGTGATACTGAAAGCTCATACTTGATCCTTAAGTTGAATACTGCAAGAAAGATGATGAAAAATCATTTACAATGCATTCTTCTTCCTATTCGTAGAACTTTTAAAATCTTATTGTTTAAAATTTTAAATTTAAAACCAAATAAAGTAGTGTTGTCAATAAAAAAATGAATGTAAATAAAATAACAAATGAAATTAAATGAATTGCTTAAATTACGCATTATTACGAACTAAATTTTGAAATGACTCTAAATTAAATTATTAAACAAGATTTCACCGATTTGATGATTACGTTAAAAACAGTAATGAAATGAATGACCTTTGTCAATTATTTCTGTGCATTTCTTCATTGGTTGATTATTCTTATCTACCTTATTACTAACTACTACCTAGATTTGATGAGTAAAAACTCTGTCCTCCTTATGCTTACATTTTAAACTTTAAAATTGAAACATTTAATAATTTATGCCTAACATTATGATTTATTATCGTGAAGTATGTTCTTTACAAATCTGATTTAACATCATTTTGCTTTCATACCTTTGCATTGTTTAAATTTAATTTCTTTCCTTTACGTTTATACTCTTTGCAAGCAAACATAGAACAATAATACTACGCTTCGCCCACTTAATATTATATTTTGCTCCGCTGAAAACATACGCTATGAACTGACTTTTCCTTTTCCTAAATATGAGAGCATTAATTGCTCATTTTAATTAGTTAACGACGAAGAATCTATAATGGGTATCTAACCGAAAGAAAGGGAACGTTGAAGGAATGTTACGTGTTCAGAATAAAATTATTAAAATCGAAGAAATGAAACGTTAAGCAAATGTTTCTCTTATAACTATTCCAAATAAAGCATTGATATGGTAATCTTCACGTAACATTCCAGCTTGCATTATGGCATAGAAGGAAATTTTGCATTGATATTTCAAATTAATATTTTGATTCAGATCATTTTAAAATTAAATATCTGCAGAAAATCGTTTATTCACATGCCATTATTTGCGTATATTTTATTCACAATATATTTTATTCACATACCGTAATCTGTGAGATATACAACGGCAAAGCAATTTAATGGTAATTAGTTCAAATTTAAAGATTATCAAATTTTATATTTAAAAATAGCGATGTTTTCTGTTGATGATTACACATAAGATTATTGTGCACACTCTTCCAATGATTTCATTCCATTCCGAGTTGGAAAGATTTAGTGACAATTATGGATAATGCTGCCAGTTGTAATCGCATTTGCATGAAACTATTATTATTCAGTGTAACTAACAAAAAATTTTAGAATTAGAGTTATACGTTATTGGAGTTATGCGTTATCAATATGCGAAAAGACCGGGGTTTTGGATTACATTTGGTCATAGATCATACGGCTTACCGGAATGCATAAAAACGGTTCCCTCTGTTAATTTCATTACGTTTTATAAGTTGCCTGCTAAGAATGCTTTTCGAAAAGGTTTTGACGATTTCAACGTTCCATCACTTCCCAATCATGTTTGCATCATATTATATGGTAGTGATAGCTTTGCCGTTGTATGTCGCGCAAATAACGGTATGTGAATAAGATATGGATCTCAGTATAGAAGATAAAGACTGACAAAGTTTCTGTTTTAACTGGAAACAAAAGCACCTTCTTCCTGCAAAGGAAAATTGAATTTTTCATTTCTTATCTATTTCCCTGTAACTTCTAAATATTCAGTGTTTGCGATCATATTCCATAGCAGAAACAAAAGTGAAACGCAAAAGAATTTTGCATTGAATCATAGAATCATTTTTGTTACACATTGAAAAACCATAATCAAACCTATAAACAAATTATTGAGGAATATTTCAGGTATCAAATGATGGAACTCTGCCAACACAAACAGGAATAAGAAATGACAAGGTAATAACGACTGCGGCTAATGACAGTAAGGAAAAAGAATTATGGTTTAAATGTGAAGGATGATAAGCAATTCGAACGTGCAATCAATCTGAAACGTCACATAAAGTTACATGCCGATGAAAAAAACTGCATGTGAGGTATGCGATAGGCAATTTGCAAATGCAAATTCTCTGAAATGCCATATGCGAATACATACCGTTGAAAAAAACTACTCATGTGAGGTATGTGATGAGCAATTCCGACATGCAAACTCTCTGAAACTCCATATGAGGAAACACGCGGGTGAGAAAAATTACTTATGTAAGGTATGCAATATAACACTTAGTCAACATTCAAACCTGCAGCGGCACAAATTGATGCACGACAATGTGCGATTCGAATGTAAACAATGTGGAAAGAGTTTCATTCGAAAGGATAATTTGAATACGCACATGAAAATACATGAAAGTTCGAGTGAAAAGCTTTATTCGACAGTGAACTCCTTAGCAGCATCGATAGCAGATATCATTGACACAGAAGTATTAATTAGAGATATTGTCGCATTCACAGGTTTATAAATGATTGTATTGTATTGGCTTAAATCATATTTGTACATTGTTTTCTGTCATTTATGCTTTGTCCATTATTTCCTGATCGAATGGCTGAAGTGACTGATGAAATTGGATATAAATTTTAAATTATAATTTGATAGAATCTCATATTGCTTTCATTTTTTTGCATGAATTTTAATGTGTTGTTTAAATTTAATATGCCAATATTCTCTTCTTTACCAGTTTTGTCAAATCAATTAAATGTTTAAATTAATGTTCGAATCAAATGATCGATTATTAAGATTGAAATTATTAGTATTCTGTAACTAATTGATATTCAATTGTTTCGCCGTTGCATGTCGCATAAGCTACGATATGTGAAGAAGGTATTGTTCTCAATATAGGAATTAGGCTTCCATAATGTTTTTTGTTTTAGCTGAAGGAAGATTAAATCTTTTATTTTTTATCTATTTTCCTGTTGCTCCTAAATATTCGATGTTTTGTGATCATATCTCACAGCAAAGCTCAGGTTAAACGCAAATTCATAAATATATATATTTCGAATATCATCATTAATTCTGGCACGTTATCAATTCTTCATTATAAAATACTGCGCGGCCTGATAAGTTCTGAACTTGTTGAAAACTCAAATTATCTATACTAATAGTAAACAAATACTAATAACTTGCATATAATTTATTTTCTGTCACATAAATAAAACATTTGAATATAGTCTGTTTCATACTTTGTGCCTTCGATTTTAACGTGTAAATTTATTATTTTATACATTTCTAAAGTTAGACTGAATCAAACAGACAAGAAGGAAGTGATATATATGAAATTGATAAGTGGAGGATAACAGCTTATCAGCATTCTTTTGTCACAAATTCTGGAATAGACGATTTTCTGTGAATATTTAATCTTATAGCGATCGAAACCGAAATTCTTTCTTTGAAACTTTTCAATTTTAATCTTATAAATAAATCGCATTCGTAGATGTAAATTTTCCTTCTATGCCATAACGTAAGCTGAAATGTTAAGTGATTAATACCAAACCGTATTTGGAATATATATATATATATATATCAAAATATCAAAACCTTAATATCAAAAGAAATTTACTAATGAAGTTCGATGTTTAAATGTTGTTATCCTTTTTTGATGAGAGGTATATTGGCATAGCAAATTTAAACAACATATAAAAATGCATATGAAAAAATGAAAGCAATATGAAGTTCCACTAAATCATAACTCAAAACTTTCCATCCAATTTCATCAATCACTTCAGCCATTCGATCAGGAAATAATGGATAAAGCACAAATGACAGAAAACAATGTACAAATATAATTAAGCCAACACAATACAATAATTTATATACCTTTGAATGCAATAATTCCCCTTATTAATATTTCTGTGTCAATGATGTCTGATATCGATTTCATTAAGGAGCTCACTGTCGAATACAGCTTTTCACTCGAATTTTTATGCTTTTTCATGTGTGCATTCAAATTATACTTTCGAGTGTAATTCCTACCACATTGTTTACATTCGAATCGCACGTTTTCGTGGGCCAATTTGTGTCTCTGAAGAGCCGAACAACAATTGAATGTTTTACCGCATAAGTTGCATTTTCCTGCCTTATCGTCCATATGTGTCTTCATATGGTATTTCAGAGGCTGATGCCTTATGAAAGTTTTACAGCACATTTCACATTTAAATAGTCGTAGTTCCTCCTGCGTCGATTTGTTTCGATTCAGATCGCCCGAGGTAAAATACATCTTTTCGCACGAACTTTTATGCATTTCCACATGTTTTTTCAAGCTATTGTTCCGAGTGAAATTCTTACCACACTCTTTACATTTGAATGGTCGAACGTCTTCGTGCGTCAATTCGTGTGTCCTCATGTTTGAAAGCTGATTAAATGTTTTGTTGCATACCTTACATATATAATTTTTTTCGCCCGTATGTATCGTCATATGGCGTTTCAGAGTGTTTGCAAGTTCGAATTGTTTATCACACAAAACACATTTGAACCATTTTCTTTTTGCCTTACTGTCATTAGCCACAGTCCTTATTTTCTTGTCATTTCTCATCCCTGGTTGAATTGGCAGACTTCCGTCATTTGATACCTGAAATAATCCAAAA